CTACCATTAAACTTGGCACTCGCCGTATGTCATAAGAAAACAATCTTAGTTAAATACTTAATTTAATTTTAGCATAAATACAGGTCCTTCATTGATAGCAGGCGGTACACTGCCTGAAGAAGTCAACCTGTCTAAATATGTTAATTAATAATAATAATAATACCCTCTACCCAAAAACATAAAACAAATAAAATTCTAAGAACATAACTGTTTTGCAAATTATTGCAATCCATTGCCTGTATTGAAATATTTAGCGTAGTCAATACTATTAATATGCCCTTGGTGAACATCTGGGTCAGATCTAGAAAAAAGGGAAAAACATTACTCGAAATCTTAATAGCAATTTTTATACAAAAACGCTCAAAACACCAATCATTCACTAAACAATTGTGAAACAAACAAATTACTCACGAAATTATTTGCTATCTAGTTAGTTGCTAGCCTGCGTGCAGGCCCAAGGGAACTGATAGTGGGCCTGCAAGCAAGGCCCGGTATTTTGTAAAACGCCCCTTTTCATAACACGCCCCATTCGCGCGTCAATTGTCAAAAAAGAACCAATGACAACAACCCAAACATTAACAAACAAACTCGCATTAAAATGTTGCGGGGTTTTCTCTGCTTATTCAGAACATAAACAATGTGTAAATGGGTGCGTTTTAACTCCAAAAAAGCAAGCAACGCAGTCAGTAATTGCCAAATTTGCAAGTGCTCATTTTCAACTAAAATCGGAACAGGCAAATTAGGACGAATTTCAACAGAAAACCAGTCTCAAACTTCAAATCATGAGGAAAGTCGTGCGACCACATTAGCATTTATAGGGTGTACTTCGCTGTCGCCATTGTTATAAATAAATTGTCTCACTTATCAGATCGTGTGTGCAATTCTTGTTGGCGGCGAAAAGTACGAAATTTATTTCAGTTATTTCATTTGGTATAAAAGAACTCTACAAAAGAAGAGAGCGTTCAGAGTCCAGATCGTTTCGTTTCAAACGGCAATTTAATACCGTCTTCTGTTTCGCTCTCTCAGCGAAGCCTTGTAAATCGCAAAGTGTTTCGAATAGGCTTACATGCAACTCAACATCGACCAAAAGATAATTTTATTGAGGAACATATAATGTATCAAGTCTGTTTGAAATTAATGAAACTCAAGTAAAGGTTACTATATATAGTTTACCCCAGTCGTAATGTTGCTATTCCAACACCTCACGACAAGCAATCCCCATTGGCATAACAGCAAAAACATCTCTTCCTTCAAGTAAACAATAAACAGTCTGTTCTTGTTCCATTTGTAATCGAAAAAAGTGATCAATTTTCGAATTTTAAGCTTATCGAGAGCTTTTGTGATGAATCACTGACCTAATTATAGAATCCAACAGCAAACAGCCAATCAGAATGCCGCGTTCGTGGGCGAACGCGGAAAGTACAAAAATACCGGGCCTTGCTTGCAGGCCCACTATCAGTTCCCTTGGGCGTGCACGCGGGCTAAACTAATACTGAACCCAGCCCTGGGCCGATTTCTTGTGTTTTCTGTGCACAGTAGTATCACCACGCAATGTGTTGTGTTTTTAGATTGGAAGAAGCAAAACAAAGATGTTTGACTAAAGGATTTACTCCTGATCAGTTTGAGAAATGTTTGACGGATTATGAAAATCTCAATGTTTGGCAAATCAACTCGTCCAAAACTAAAATAACATTTGTACAGTAGGAGCTTAGTTTTAGGTTATTTTATCATCGACTGTAGCTAGTTTTCTATCTAACCCGCATTCTGTAATATTTGTTTTCTCTAGTATTTCTATGTCGCTTTAATAACGTGTAAAGTAAAACATGTATTTTACATCAAGTATTTCATTTTTTTGTCCAATTTGGAATCTAATGAAAAGACATATTAACAGGATAGGCAAACCACTCTGCCCAAACTAAATGGGACTTAAGCGAGCAGTATAACGCGCGATCCTCACAGAATTTACCGCAACCTTATGTCTTCACACTTGTTTGTTTTTGAGGGGGGGGGGGGGGGGGGG